ACAACACACTGGTCTATATAAGAAGGATCCCAAACAACCACCAGACCCCCCCCCGCCCACGGTGTGGGGGGGGGAAATCGGGGGGGTTGAAGTCCACTCATTTTAAAGTGGCCAAGTTTGGACAACACTGCCCTAAAGGAAGCTCTTGTCTCTCTGCTCTCTATTACCTCAAGGTGGCTGGAGCCTGCTCTGTAAAGAGAGAGATTATTCAGGAGGACAACCTCTTGGGACAGGTCTTCCAGCTTAGGGAGAGATTTCTACCCAGGTAGCATCACCTCCTGGAAAGGCAGTGGTCCTCTGTGCTGGGGATGGTGGGAAGAGATTTCCATGTTTAGATGGTGCACTGAGGAAAAGTGGAGCCCTTGTGGTATGAGATCTTTTTAGTGGCTTTTGTTTCTCAAGTTTTGAATGGGATAGACTTGGGGAATGTATCCCTTGAAGGCTGGAAAAGGGATCTCTATCGACAACAGGGTGCAGAGCTGACTGAACAGGAGTCCTATTCTGTGTTGCTTTGATAAAGAGAAGACTTGGAAAGCCAGAATAGATTGCACAGAAGGAAAATGCTGGGAAAGGGGTGATTATCTGCATTCCATTTCTGAAATTGACCTGGAGGCCTCCAGTTCTCATTTCTTGGCCAATCACCTAGGGTATGTACAGGGTGTATTTCAGTCTCCTGGAGCAGAAGGAATCTCTTCCCCTTGTTGATCTGGGTCTCCTGCTGTTTCCTGGTCAAGCCCTCCCCTGTGCTTTTGCGGGCTCAACAAGAAGTCCTCCATCACTTCTTGCTCCTGAACTGCTGCAGCTAGGGAGCCTCCAGTGTTTTGTTGGTCAGAAGGACCTGGGAAGCCAATGGCTTGTTCATTTGGCTTAGGAAGTGCCCACAGGACTGTGCCATCTTCTTCACTGGGGGCAATAAGGAAGCCTGGGTTCTCTCCCTGCCGGGGAGGAAGAAATAACTCTGAGGGCTCCAATAGTCCATCCCAGTTGAAGTCCTGAGTCTCCAAGATACTGTCCACCATTGGCACTACCTGAGAGGAGAATAACAGAGGGAGTCAAGGCAGCCTTCCAATTATCAACACAAGCTTACAATAAGGAACAATGTAACTGGCATCTTCTACAGACAGAAGAAAGATAAGAAGAGCTGAGCTGGATCAGGCCAATTCTAGTTTAGCATCCTTTCTCTACCATGGCCAACAAGATACTTTTAGAATAGAACAAGTTTACATTACTTGGAGCTTATTATCTACTGAGAAAAGGGATTCAAGTAGGGTTCAACCAGACAAGGAGAGAGGGCAGCTATAGGCAGAGTCTCTGGCTAGTGTATTACTCAAGTGTTGGCAAAGGTGCCAATCTTACCTGAGACTGAGGAATAAAATGTGCCTACCAAGTCTGGTGCAGGCTGCCCTTTCGCCTGTTGGGACACCAGCTCACTCAGCAGCCTCATGAATTCCAGACCATCCAAGCGCCCGCTTTTGTCGTAGTCATGAAGAGCAAAGAGAAGCAAGAGTGCTAGAAAGAATGGGAATGGAGAAGGAATGCACAGTGAACTATAGAACAGCAGAGGCCAACACTGCTCAGAGTGGAAGCTACTGATGGGAACTGTTCTCCATTGTACCAGGGTGCAGGATGTGGAATAATGGATTAAGTTAGAGCAAGGTAGATGTCAGCTCTTCGCAGCAGACCAGACTAGGAAAACAAAGTTATGATTACTAATACTACTTTTACCAGAGGGTTATAGTAACAGAATCTTGCAAGTCTGAACGGGCCTTCCCCCTCCCTGCCTTTATCTACACGAGAACTAGGAAGGATCAATTCTGAGATGTTTTCTCAAATTACATTTCTGCTGTGGACTCAAATTTCTTTTATCTGACTGTTGTCTTGGTTGTGGCTCTTCATCCTGTTCTTCAAGGTTATTCTCACAGCCCATTGCACCAGACTCCAAGTGAATGTTAGCAAAAGCTTCTTAATACTGTAGTAAGAGCATATTGACAGTGGAACCAATTCAATAGAGATGTGGGGGGGGGGATTCTTCTGTGAGATTGGACAGCCATCTGTCAAGAATGCTTTCATTTGGATTCCTGCAGGAGCTGGGGGGTTGGATTCCATGATCTCTGAGACCTTCCAACTCAATAATTCTATGAATGCTGATGTTTTTCTTAAACACAATATTCCCACCAAACTTCACCTTTCTTGATCACTTGGGAGTGGGGGGGAGGGCTATGGAATCTACAGTTTCCTCTCCCACAGTGAAACCCCAGATTGCTAGCTTCTCATTCTTGACAGTACATGCTGGCCCAGGTTTGGCTCATTTTCTGTTGGTCCCTGCCATGGCTTAAAAAAATCAAAGATAAGATCACTGCATTTTTGGTTTCTTATGAATCCAAGCATGGGGTCTAAAGGTATTTTCTGAAGCTAAGCAAGGTTAGCCTGGCTAGTTCATGAGTGGGAATTCATGCCTGAAAATATTCCATGCCTGCCTGCCTGCCTATGCTTCACTTGTATAATAGGAGAAAGGCAGGCTGTAAACATCACAAGCATCAATTTCCAAATTTAGCATAACAGAACGAATCCATCCTGATTATATCCATATCAGCACCAGCAGCAGAAGCAAACCTATATTCCATTACGAGAACACTTCATTTTGTCAATGTCCAGCAGCAGCTTTAACTGCCTGAGAGGAAGCCACGTACTTCTGTACTGAGCTTGCTGAATTCTAGTGATCCTGCACATTCTCTGCCACGGACAACCTGTGCCAGCATAGCTGGCTGCATGTCTAACATTTCTGAGCCAGCGGTACATTTGCAAAGAGACCCCGGGTGGGGGAGATTGATTTAGAGTGTTCTGGTTTTATTTGGGAGAACAAGGGTAGGAAAGAGAGTTCTAAGAACCCTGAACCGTCTCCAGTACACTGCAAATCATTTAAAGGAGAAAAACAAAACTGAAATCCTCCCCTTCTGTCTTGAGAAGCACAGAGGAAAGGGTAGAAACCCAGCACAACTCCACTCATCTAACAGTATAAGGCAAGCTGGGGATTTATTTTAGGCCCCAGATTTACTACATAATAATAGGCTTTGCATCAGCTGGTTCAGCCTGACCACAAGATTAAAAAGTGAAAGCAAAATAGCAGAGATGGCCACATTGGATCAGGCAACATCTCATACTACAGCATAAGAAACAATCATCTTTTTATCGTCTATCAAGGCCAGGCTGGTTGTGATCAAAAAGGTAATTTTCAAAGGGAAACAGTGATTGATTGTCCTTTGCATTTTAATGAAATCTGAAGGGTTAACTTCCAAATAGGCTGAAAAATGACTGCTGATTCAAAAAAAGCTCTGTCTTTCAGCAGAGTAATTTCCATTGATAGAGAAGCAGCACCTTCTTTGCAGCCAAGCCATCTGATTTCAAAAGGAGATGTTTTCTCTTTGGTGAAAGATATCCAGGCAGCTTACATAATTTGTTTTGCTTTCTTTATTTGCTCTCTCGGTCTGTTAAAATCAGCTGTTATGGGCTCAGAACTTATGTTGTTTTTCTTATATATTGCTGTTGTTTTCTCAGAAAATCCTGTATAATTTGTTTGCTGGAACATCTCTTCCAACCTCAAACAGAACTATAGAACTAGGGGAGCTCTTGCATGGCTGGGATATCCCTGAACCTTCTTTTTTGAATGTGTGCTTAAAACTAGGGTCCTGTTTCCTAAAGCAAGAAGCTGCCAGCTGCCAGCTGCCCTCACCTTGCCCTCTCAGCATGCATGAGGTAGTGAAGTTCTTACCCTGTTCCCTTGTCATGGCAGCAGCATCCCTGTCCACATGCCCGATGTTCTCCAGGTAGTCTTGGAGCACCCTAGAACAGACCAAGTTATAGCTCTGTCATGTTGCCACGATGGAGCAAGACATAGCACAGATACAAGGTTGACCAACTTGGAAAGGGCAAGATCAAAACAACCATTGCCACAGAGAATGTCGTAGCTGTCAGAATAGGTGGGTGGGAAGATGGGCAGACGAAATCATTTGGGCCTCCAGTCCTTTTTGTTGGATCCCCAGACTCAATGGTGTGGAGAGGGCACTCTTCAAACGTTCAGATAAGTGCCAACATACTAAATCAGTGTTGTCCAAACTTGGCCACTTTAAGATGAGTGGACTTCAACTCCCAGAATCCCCCAGCCAGTGTTGGCTGGGGAATTC